AGAACCTACCTCTACCCTGAGTGCTCATTTGCAAGAGAATCTGGTGGGTGTTCAACAAATGTGTGTGTGTGTGTGTGTGTGTGTGTGTGTGTGTGTGTGTGTGTCTGTGATATAGTAGTGTACATGTTTGTGTCGTGGCGGAGGGAACAGAGGTTGGCATCAGGTGTCTTCCTCAATCTCCACATTATGTTTTGGTATGGGATCTGTCCTTGAACCTGAAGTTCACTGGTTCAGCTAGGCTGACTGGCTGTTGAGTTCTGGGAATCTATCTGTCTCTGTCTGCAGGTGCTGGGGATGTAGAGTGGTGCTGCTGGTCCAGGCTCTTACACAGACACCGGGGGACCAAACTCCAGCTCTCATGCTTGCAGAACCAGCACATTATCAAATAAGTTATTTCTCCAGCCCAGAGTCCGTTTTTGTTGTTGTTATTGTTGTTTTGGGTTTTTTTTTTTAACTTTGTGCATGTCTCAGTATTTTTTTAAACTGGATAATTGATCTATACCAAAATTTTTATCTGGGTGTGATTGTGTATGCCTACCATCCCAACACTTAGGCTGAGGTGGGAGGATCAGAAGTTTGAGGCCAGCTGGGGTCACATAAGGAAATTATCCACCTGCCAAAGGGTTTGCATACATTCCTGGTTCCATCACCCTGTCTGAGGTGCTGAGCACACCCATCTCCTCTCAAGTCTCCTTGAGCTCTTGTGGGGAACTCTGTAGAATGTTCTGTGTGTTAGGATTTTCGTATGTGTGTTAAGAAGTTCACTTGAAATCCATCTCTTTAACATATTTTAAAGTGCCCAAGCCATCGGATTGGGGATTTAGCTCAGTGGTAGAGCACTTGCGTAGCAAGCGTGAGGCCCTGGGTTCGGTCCTCAGCTCCAGAAAAAAAAAAAAAAAAGTGCACAATGTGGGACTGGAGAGATGGCTTGGTGGTTAAGAGCACTGGCTGCTCTTCCAGAGGACCCAGGTTCGATTTCCAACATTCACATGGTGGTTAACAACCAACTCCAACCCCGGTTCCTGGGGATCCAAAATCTCTTCTGATCTTCTCAGGCACCTGGGTACACGTGGTGCACAGACATACACACAGGTACACACACACACACACACACACACACACACACTAAATACAGTTTAAAAAATACAATACTGTATCATTGGCTTCAGAGACATCTTCTACAGCAGAGCTCTAGAACTTTTTATCTTCTGCAATAGAAACTTCATTCAACTGCCATCGTTCCCTCCTCCCAGCTCCTGCCTATCACCATTGTGTTACATGAACCAATGTTCTATGAATCATTCCAGATGTCTTATGTAGGTGAATACATTCCACTCTCCCTTACCTATGATGTTCATTCTGGACCAGTGATTCTGATTCTCTATCAATCTCTCTCAGAATCACACAGGACACTGAAAGCCCTCCTGCAACACAGAACACTTTGGATCTTCACATTATAAATCTCAATGGGGATTGAGGAGGTGACTCAGTGATTGCTACACAAGCCTGGGGACCTGAGTTCAAATCCCGAGCCCCACATTTAAAAAAAAAGCAGAGCATGGCTCACTGGGCCTTGGTGGCTCCTACCCTGCCTCCAGGTTCAATGAGAGACCCTGGCTCAAGGAAATAAAGCAGAGTGATACAACAGGATCCTCTGACCTCTGTGCACATGTACACACCACCACACAAACTCACACACGTAAATAAATAAATACATAAATCGCCTGGGGTGAGATCTTGCTAGGCAACTGTGTTGTGCAACTCTGATTAAAAACGACTGAATTCAAACTGACGAGCTGTGGCATCTAACCACTCCGACATAATCCAGTTTGGCTGGGATCCCAGCAGAGAGGTCAAAAAGGCTGATCAGTGGGGATTGGCCTAGTCAGGGCTGTCCCCAGGCAAGGCCCCATTAGCTATGGGGTAACGCACATTGTTCAAAGGACAAGGCACACATCACCAGGGCCAAAAGAACAATGAATACTCTCACTCCCAAAGGCAGAAACTGGTGTCCATGGCCGGTAGCTCTGGCTGACAGAATAAGATGTGAAGGCTTCAGTGAGTCAGATGGAGCAAGAGTGTGGAGTAAGCATGTGGCTGCTTAGAAATGCTCATTGGGGGGGGGGGGAGATGACGAGAGTATCTGTCTTTACTGGGAACTGAGTCTAGGCGGCTCAGACCAAGTGCTTCCTGCCCCAAGCTCGGGAGAAACCTCAGGCAAGATAGGTGCCTCATTGGATTTTCAGCCTCTCTTTCCATTCTTCACCAAGCACAACTGAGACTCTCTTTACTTGGAATTATTTAACGAACCATACTGGAAGACTTGGTCAACTACTCAGGGTAGCAGGGAGCATTGACTAGACCATAGTATCTCATAACACACATCAACGTGTGCCTGTGGGTTTTTATTTTAATCATATCAGACTATTGTTCTTTAAAATTTTAATTGGCATGTATTCATAGTACATGGTCCTGGGTTGCATAAGGACATTCTCATCTAAACATACACTTTGAGTATATTTCTCCCCTCCCCCCCCCCCTTACCTTCCTATTTCAAAGCTGCCACCTGCCCATTGGTTTTGTTTCCTTAGTGTCAGGGTTAGCGTTGTCAGATTGGTAGAATGGACACGTCTGTCAGAGATTATCTTTGTTATGTGGGAAGATTCATTTTAGCTGTGGGAGGGACCAATTCCTGGACAAGGGACCCTAGATTAAATAAAACGGGGAAAGCAAACTGAGCAAGCATCTGACTCTCCCTCTTGAGCTTGGATACAGAGGCAACGTATCCAGCTCCCTCAAGCTCTGACTTGTGCGGCACGCTGCCATAATGGACTGTATCCTGGTCAGCTTTCTATTGTTATGAGAAAACACCATGACCAAAAGCAACTTAGGGAGGAAAGGGTTTATTCCCGGTTACAGTTACAGTCCATCCATCACAAAGGGAACTGGGGCAGAATCAAAACAGGAACAGGGGTGAGGGAGTGGGGGTGGGCAGGAACTGATGCAGAGACCATGGAGGAATGTTGCTTATTGGCTTGTTCCTCATGGCTCCCTCAGCTTGCTTTCTTATATGATCCAGGATCAGCTGCCTAGAGGTGGCACCACCACCAGTAGGCTGGGCCCTCCCACATCGACCATTAGTTAAGCAATGTGCCACAGACTTGTCTAAGATCCATAAACTGGAGAAAACATTCAATGTCTGGGGCTGACTTAATTCACTTAATGTGATTTTATTTAGCCACATCCTTTTTCCTGCAAACAATATAACGTTGGTCTTTATGGCTGAAAAAAAATTCATTTTGTCTATAAGCCATATTTTCTTTATCCATACCTCTTGGGGGTTATTTATTTATTTTTATTTTTGCCAGATTCTCACTGCATAGCGCAGGCTGGCCTCAAATTCATGATCCTCCTGCCTCAGACTCCAAAGTGCTGTGATTACTCGTATATTCCATCACACTTTGCTCTTTTAAATTTATGTTAAACTTCATTTAATCAGGGAAAGAAGCACACTGGAGTCAAACTTAGGCCCTTGCAGAAGCAAAGCAAGTACTCTATCCACAGCCCTAGCAGTCTTTTCATTCTCTTGGAAGATAACCTAAACGATGGGACCAGAATGCAAAGCTCTATCTATGCCCCATATCCAACACCCAATGAGCAGCTTGGGAGCCAGAGAGCATGGAAGTCTACAGCTGTCTGTCCCACTTCCAGACGGCCACCTCAGGAGTCACTCCAGCATGGAGATGCCCCAAGGCTGTTCTCTTTGCTAGTTAGAAGAGTGGGAAGGATTTGGACATCAGGGCAACTTCTGGGGTATGTAAGGTTCACACTGGATATTCACCCTCATCCAGTCTTCAACTTTCCTCCATCTGTAAAGATGAAGACCGTTTCTCTTGGGAGTTAAACAACAACAACAAACCCTTAACTTTTGGCTATCAATAAGGACAAAGAAGTTGCTGGAGTTTGAAAAGTCATTTATTTGGGGGAAGAGGGGCACAGGCATGCTGCCAGAGGAGAACTTGGTTGGTAGGAGCTGGTCAAGCCCAGTGGGAAGCATCAGTGGTACAGCTCTTATCTAGCATTCGTGAATCCCTATTTTTAACCTCCAGTTCGAGGAGGACAGAGAGTGGAAGGATGGAGATGGGTCCGGGAATAAAGTACTTGTTGTGCTCCAAAACCAACCTGAGTTCAGATTCCCAGAACCCACATAAAGCTGGGTCCCAGTGCTCCTGAGATGGCGGGAGGGGGGAAATGGGGAACCCTTGGGTTGTGGGCTAGCTAGTTCAGCATGTTCAGCAGCAATCAAGAGACTTCGTCTCAAGCAAGGTGGAAGGCAAGGCTCATCAGCACCTGGAGTGGTCAGCTGACCTCTCTCCAGGAGGACACGCTCACACTTGCGCACACACATGAACACAGGATTTTTTTTTAATGGAGTCTAGGTGTGGTACTGTATGTCTATAATTCCAACACTTGGGAGACAGAGACAGGAAGATCAGAAATTGGATGCCAGCCTGAGCTATGTATATATTACATTACTCTGGAGAGAGAGAGAGAGAGAGAGAGAGAGAGAGAGAGAGAGAGAGAGAGAGAGAGAGAGAACACTAAACCAACAACAAAGTCTATTAATTTAAAATTAACACATTTTACTATTTCCCAAATGTATAAAGTTGACAATCTGTTGTGTCCTGTTGAAAGGAAAATACAGGTTCTGCGGGGGTGGGGGGTGGGGGGTGGCAACAGGTTCACCGGCCACGAATCTCAGCTAAAGACAAGGTGACTGACTCACCAAGTGAAGGCGCTGACATGCCTAAGGACCGGAGTTCAATCTCTGGAGGCTGGAAGAGCCCGACTCCTGCCAGGTTTTCCTTTACCCTCTACATGTGTGCACTCCTGCACACACACACACACACACACACACACACACACACACACACACACACACGCTTAAAAAGAAAACCGACACGTGTGCCTGCAAAAGGCCCAGAAATGAGTCTCGTCAGTGTATGTCAACCAGGTTTTATTGTTCTAGCAACTGCGAAATCTACACATTTCGGAAAGGCATATCCTGTTTAAAAGCTTGCATAGCTTCTTCCCAGGTCAATTGAGAGAGACAATTATACAGAACACGAAGAAATCAATCACACATTGAAAGGCCCCAAACCAATGAACAATTAAACCCAATCTATACAGCTTTCTTCTATTTTTAGGCTCCCTTATACTTATTAAATAAATAAATAGCACATCTGCTATCAAAATAATAAAAAAATAAATTTCAAGTATTACAAATGAAAATATCATTGGTGTGGTTCCAACAGTTTTTCTTCTCCCCACAGATGAAGGGTGTTGCCCACGGCTGAAGGGAACAGGAGAAATTTACCCCCAAAAACAAATATGCAAAGTTAAAAACATTGGTCCCCATTTTATTTTGTTGTTTTGGGTGGGAGTGTGGAAGTTCTGTGAGTGATGCCGCCCCATTCATCCAGTCACTGTGTTTCAAATCAAGCTGTGTCCCACCCCTTCAAGGTCTCCTGAGCCTGCTCTTAGCCACAGATCTTCACAGAGTGTGAAGTCACATCAGGCAAAGCTTTCGCTTGGTGGACTGACTTCAGTCACAGGTGACCACCCCTACCTGTGTTAGCCTTAAGTGTCTCTTTTATGTGCTAAGAGTTGGTTCTGTAACTAGAGAGTAGATATGCTCAGAAGGGAGGGGAACACCTAAAACTACCTTCAAGCTCAAAGCCACACTACCAGGCATGGTGGCTCATGCTTATAACACCCCAATGCTGGACTTGGGAGGCTGAGACAGGGGGACCGCCGTAAGTCTGAGGCTAGCTTGAGTTACATAGTTAAGATCCTGTCCATGCCCCAAATGCAATGCCGCAGGCCCCCGGGTCTAAACGTATTACCAGCCTGTGCACACCTGGGCACTGCATGTATCCTTACCAAGACTCAAGTCGCTAAGAGGAGGAAACAGTCCAAGTCTTATGTACATCGTCCTCTGGCGACCACAGGTTTAAAGGGTAGTGGGCTGGACTGAGAACTTGAGTGGTTAGCTGTGAAAGACACAAAGTGACTTTAAAGCCTCTGAAGCAAGTCCTTGTGTCCCCCCAGGACCTGTCTCCTGAGCTGGGGACGACAGGATTCCCCAGGACTCACAGGCAGAGACAGAAAGGAAAGGGACCTTCGGCCCAGCTGTGGGGCATCCTTATAAAGGCTCCTTTGGGCAAAAAAACCCACTGAGTTTCCAAAAGGTTTCTTCCAGGCTCAGGCTGGCCTCTCCTCCCCCCAGAACTTGGGTGGACAAAGGGGGAGGACAAAAGCAATAGGTAGTCACATCAGCACTGCTTTCAGCCCATGCACAACTGTCTCGGACATCATGAAGCCAACATGGACGAGTGTCTGCTCTTGGGAACCCCTGGAGATGTCCAGCAGGGTGGTATGGGGCCTACAACGGATACTAGGCTAAACCAACATGGAGGCAGTCGAGGAGCATGCGGCCTGGAACGAGCCTCTCGTGGGCCACCGCCCCCTTCTTGGGAAATCTGAGTGAAGTTGGAGTCGAAGGCTCTGGGCCTCCCCATCTCACAGACACTCCAGCTCCTTCCATTCACAGCTCCAAGCCTCCAAGGGCCAACACCCTGCCATCTAAGTTCCTGAAGGGAAATGTGACTTTCAGGTCACACTTCTGCCCAAAAAGAAAAAAGTGAAGGAAGGGAGGGGAGAGAGGGAGGGAGGGAGGAAAGTGCAAAACAAACAGCCAGCCACAGGGTTTGCTCAGGTAACTCCAGGCCCAGGGTGGAGAACAGAAGCCCTGGGAAGAGGGGGCCCTGGTGATTTTTTTTTTTTCAGCAAAATGCTTCCTTCTGCTGATGCAATCCCGAGACCTAGAAGGCATGTGGGCTTGTGGAGGAGCCAGGGCATGTCATTGCTCAGCTGACCAGTGAGCCTCAGCTCAGGAACTCCTCAGAAGGAGAACTGCCACACCCAGGGCAGCATGTGTCCAAGTCCCTTATCTTTGAGGCCTCTTCCCAGGCCAAGATGTATAAAAGCCACGTGAGTGTTTGAACATCCCTGAGCCTCTGGCAGCGGGGGGGGTCTAACTCACTCTGAATTTCAGGATTCTCTGCCAGTCTCGTCTCCCAGCTATCAGCATGCCAGGCCAGGATCCAGAGAAACAAAACAAAACAGCATGGTGCCATTCGGTACCCCCGCTTAGGGGCCTGATGCCATCATCTTTTCTAGAACTATAGTCCTCCCCATGCTTCAGAAGAGTCTGTGAGGTCAGACACCCTGGAAGTCCCAGGAGAACAAAGTGTGGGGAGGTCTGCAGCTTTGCCATGGGAAGCCGGGATCTGTACAACTTCCTAGTTGTCTCTGGCACCCCGGCGTCTCAGGGGGTGCTCCTACTTTTCACCCAGCAGACCTCCATTCTCCCCGAGTCCAGAAGTCCTTGGGGTCGCTTGGACTCAGGTAGATGAGTGGGCACAAGGAGGCCGTAGAAACGGAATGGAACCCACACTTCAGCTTGATTGCCTCTGGGAAAGGTCAGCGCCGCTCGGGGGGCTCTTCATGTTCTGTTTTCAGGAGAGAGAGGAAGGGAGAGTCAGGACCGCGTTCTGACTGTGCTTCTAGAGCAGAAGGCTCAAAGCCATGCCACAAGACACCCTCCTCCCTCCGTTCCCCAAAAGAACACACCCCTGGCAGAGGATGATCACAAAACATGTAGAGGAGCCCAAGTAGGTCTCAGAAGATGACAGAAAATACCCCAGGTTACAGAAGAAACCGGAGACAGGGGCCAGGAGTCTGCTTGGCACTGGGCTAGATTCCAGCCAGAAGGGCATGGAGAAGTCAGGCATGTGACTTGGGAGCCTGCAGCTCCAGGGGTCAGACAATGCTGCTTAGAGAGGACAAGATAGGAAAGCCATGCACCCTCCCCTTTAGGAACTGAGGGCCACTCTCCGTGCCACATGGCCGTCTCACATTGGTCACAGCCAGGTCAAGATCAGCTGGGACTGTCCGGAAAAGCAGAGCTCCTCTCTGGAATCGGCTAACAGAGCCTTGTACTCAGCTACATGGGGGTCCCAAGTCTGGGCACAGAGCTCCACAGAACGCAAGAGACAGTGGGATGCCTGGCCATCCAACGCAGGCCCAGCGGAGGCTGTCATTCAAGTCTGCCAGGCCTTAACCCGCCTACCCCTAGCAAGAAGTCTCACAAGGCATTAGCTGGTATCAAGTTCCCTTTTAAAGTGTTCTTAAGTCACCTGCCTTGAATACTACCACTGGCCAGCAGCCATCTCTCCCCTAAAACCTCCATATCTAACCCTTCAAAAAAGAAATGTTCGATAAAAGTATTCCACTTGGGCCCTCAAAACTCCAGGGGCAGGATCATGGAGAGATGGATTTCAGGCAGGCAGGGTGCAAGAACTACTCTCAGGCCACAGAATAAAGGAGCCTAACTGTGGATGTCTAGATAAGGGACACTAAGTTCTGAGCTGACTGAGACTCGGGGATCCAGGCAGTAGTGCCCTGTGTAAAATAGGGGTTCTTCTGGTAGTGCCCTGGAGTGTGTGTGTGTGTGTGTGTGTGTGTGTAAAGAGAGCCCCAGCCACATAGTGGGATCAAAGAGGGAAGGGTTATCATTCCTCCTACCACACCACAGGCCCAGGGCCTCCAGCATTCACACATGATGACAATGTAACAGTCACAATGAGGAGCTACATGGTGAGTCATGTCCACATCGTTCCCTCAGGGGCCCCTGACTCGGAACACACAGAGGCAGAGATGGATGGGCAAGGACCCCACATCAATGGCACTGCTTGAAAGACCACTGAGCACCGACACATGAGCCACATACTCCACAATGGCCAATCTGTACACAAGCCACAGTGCCCTTCGGCTGAAAGCCATGACTCAGATGCAGGAGGAAACAGAGGGACATGCACCAGCTCAATTACCTTTCCCAGGTTAGTAAGGAGAAAACTTTGAAAAAATGTGACAGACAGTTCGTCTTTCAAGCATAGCGGGGAAGAGAAAAACAAAACAGGTTGGAAAAGGAGAAAACAAAACCGACTTTCGTCTTTTCTGTTTGGTTTTTGAGATAAGGTCTCATTTGGCCCAGGCTGGCCTCAAACACTCTATGTAGTGTAGATGACCTTGATTTTCTGATTCTCCTGCCTCCTCCTGAGTGCTGGGATTATAGATGCATTCCACCACAACTCAGGGCCTCTTGCAGGCTAGGCAAACCCTCTACCAACTGAGCTACATTGCCAGCCTTAGTGGCCTCTTCATTTTAGTGTGCATCTGTGATTTTTAAAATGGAAGAGGCACTGAAAAATGGCAGGGGGTCCCTTGATCCCAACAGTTCCCAGGAAGATACCAAGAACAGAGAGCAGTGTCTGGGTATCATTCAGTTTTACCAGGAGACCAAGACGACAGGCATCATGCCTTTGGGGTGTCTCAGCTCAAGTCTGAGTGCTCTGGCTGCTCTGAGAAGTGAAAATCCAGTGGCACAGGGCAGAGGGCACAAAGGACCACCTAACTGCACACTCAAAGCTAGAGGCCAGAAGTGGTGATACTCTAGCCACCGCCCATCAGGCCCCTCCTAGGTGCCAGATATTTGCCATGAGTTATATGCATGATGAAGTTCAAGTCAGAAAACTGGTTTAACTTCCCTGATGTTCCAAAGACTGTGGCAAAGTTGGTTTGATCTGGCTTTTAAAATAAATCCTGGAAGCCAGGTAAGTTGGTGCATGCATACCTGTAATTCAAACACTCAGAGAGTGAGACAGGAGGATTGCTTTGAGTTTGAGGCCTGGGGTACACAGTAGGTTCCAGGCTAGATAAGACAACTAAGATGATACTATTTCAGTAAGACAATAATTGATTAATTTTGGTCACAGGATTGGGCTGGGCTAGATTCTGGGTCTCCAGAATAGAATCTGACCATAGCAGGGGTGATGAGTCTGTAGACTACATTTTTGCTTAACTAAAGAGATTCCAGCCAAAAGCACTATTAGATTCACATTAGAAACGAACAAGCTGAACCACAGGTCCCAACCCAAAGGTTCTGCAAGGAGAACCCTTGGTCCTCAAGCAGTCCACAATAGACACTGGATGGTGAGCATATGGTCCCTTTCTGAGAGGGCAGTTAACAGCCAGGCCTGCCCTCTCCCTTGGGAAGTGGCTGCAAGGGACACTGTGGGAGTTAGTTAACCCACAGGCCAGATGCTGCCCATGGTACCCCTCAGGCTTCAAGAACCAGATAGAAAAACAGCACCTGGGCTTTTCCAAGAAGCTTGCAGGGAGGAAGACACTAGCTTTCTAGGGCCCAACGTCTGTTTGAGGCCTGGCCCCATGCCTACCAGTTGGTGGGTGTGCCGGTCACTTGACCTTACTTGTTAGACAGGGTGAGGATTGCCCTGCCCATCTCTTATTTAAGGGCCAGAGATACAAAGGATGGGCCGTCCCGTTCTCTGTGAGTTACACAGCTCTCCTAAATGCCCGCCCACACCTGTTTCTCAAGCTTGACTGGCAGCAGTCGGGGCTGTGGATTCAGGGGCGTGGGATCCCAAGTACAGTTTCTATACGGACGTCTCCAGAGACTGTCCCTTGGCAGGGCGGACAGGCACACCTCCAGGCCATCAAGATAGATTCCCATGTTTGTTTGCTTTTTTCTATTAGGCTCTGGATAAATATTGCTTTTAGAATAAAAGGATGCTCCTCTGGGAAAGGGAGTGAAAAAAAAAAGACAGCAATCACTAGTTTCACTCGTCATCAGAATCTGACCCCAAATGGGAAACAAAATCATGTGAAGCCCCAGCCTAGGACCATTTAAGACACAACCTAGAACCCCAAGAGGGACTGGGGAGCAGCACCCCATGGCTGACGGCACTGGAGTGGGCTGAACAGTGTTAGTTTGGCCACAACACACCCCCTTTCTGCACCCCTTCTCTGTAAACTTTGGGAATTATCTCCTCCCATCTCTTTCTCTTCTGTGGACAACCTCGGAGTCTACCCAAACTGTCCTCGCCCTAAATACTTCAGCAGGCAGGAGACAAACTGGCAACAAGCAAGAGTGAATGCAAGTGACAGAATTATTGAGCAGGAAATACTTACAGACAGGCTTTCCCTAGCAAAGGCTGCAGGGAGACAAGGTAAGGGGAGAGAAAAAAAATCAGTCAGGAGGCCAGATGGCAGCTGGTGAGATGAGCCCCCCCCACCTCCCATGTCTGACCCGGCCAATAGATCCCAGACATCTGTTCCTGAGGATCTGGCAATCCTGAAGGGCTGTCCTAATAAATTCAGAAGCATCTGTGAAGGGGGAGATAAGGCTGGGTGCTTGCCAGAATCCTCCATGACCAGATCAAGGGTAGCTCTGGATGTCCCTGCCCCAGGCCCAGGTTAATGTCCTTGATCTTTCAAGCTAGTGAAATCTTGCTGGGTTCTGTTTATTTTTACTCTGATAATCTGGCTGCTGTGTGAAAAGGTGGCAATACTGGCGGCCTGGTCCTGTGTATGTATGTACACACGTACTGTGCCCACATGCATCCACGTACAGGGATGCAGATGAACACAAGCCTCACATGAAGGGATGTGAAAGGACAACCTTGGATGTCAATCCTCAGCAGCCTGCCACCTTTTGCTTAAAGGAGCTCTCCTACTGCAATCCTGGGATTTCACCACGGAGGCCAGGCTAGCTGGCCTGTGAGCCTCCAGGGATCCACCTGTTCCTGCCTCTCCTCTCACCAGTGACTTTACAGGCATGTCCCTCTGCTCTCAGCTTTTTGCCTGCGTTCTGGAGATCTGACCTTGGGTCGCCACAGTTGCATGGAAAGAGCTGTATCAATCCAGCTGCCTCTCCAGCTCTAGACTATTTCTAAGGGGGGAGGTATGCTGGTTGAGGAGAGGGAATAGGCTCTTCTGTGGGAATCTCAGCTTTTTTCTGTCAGAGAGGGGATAGCAAAGGAGTTAGCTCTGGAGTAAGGAGACATCACTCCCATGCTACGTTACAGACTCCTGACTGGGAATTGCTATTCACAAATGTACACAGGCCTGGAACATTTTACAATTTCTTTTACTCTGTCTGATTCTGCTGAATGAAGAATAAGAGCCATAACCTCGGAAAGGACAGATAGAGTCACTGTTGACCAGGAAAGACCTTCAGAGAGGGCATCTCATGTCCTGCCCAATGCATGTACACACTCTATACAAATGCACGTATACACACACACTATACACCCACAAAAACTGTCTACTGCACATCACACATACAGCCCACCCCAAACACAGGCACACATCCTCACGTGCAAACGCAAACACAGTCCCAGATCTGGGGATCGTCTCTCCCCTGTTCACTCTTCCCTGTAGGGAGTAATTAAAGCAAAATCACTGACTTGTCCGGGCAGCTGCGTGGGCACTTCCGGGGGCAGGCAGCTGGGCAGGGCAGCAGAAGTGGAAGCCACATGCTCCTCAAAGCTGTTGATGCGAGGCTTTTTGGTGGGCTCAGGGCTGGCTAGTGGCGTGACACTATTGCGTCTCATGAGCGGGTTAGGTCCCTTCTTTGCATCCTAAGCAGACAAAGACAAAAGAGAGAAGGCGACAGTTACAAGGAGTGGGTGGGGAGGGACAAAAGCCACACACACACACACACACACACACACACACAGTCCTCTGGTGATCTGTACAAGCACCACCAGAGGGACACCCAGGTGAGTGGCCTTGCCCCTGAGCTGTTGCTGCCACAGAACTTCTCGCTATGTGCAAAGCAGGGGAGGAAACAGATCATTACAACCACAGCAGAGAAGGGGGTCAGAGAAAAGATCCTTACTCCCAGCCACCCCACCCACAGAGGGCCCAGGAGAGATGGTTGGCTCCAAGATCACGGGTGTGGGAGGGGAAACGTGTCAGGGCCTACTCCCTTCCATCTGGGTCTGCGGCGCACACAAGCACCCATGGAATACATTGTGCTCCCCAAAACAGTACCCAGCCTCAGCCTAGGAGGTAGAGCAGGAGACCAAAGGTGCAGGAACCAGACAGTGGTCTGTCAGCCAGGGCGAACTGCCAACCTTCCAGTAGAGGATGACGAAACAGAAGAGTAGGCTTCTGGGGTCCATGGCATGGCCCAGCACCTCAAAGCCCAGGGCAGCTTCAGTCCCAGCACTCAGCAAGGAGGTATTCTGAGGGCCTTGGAGGCCATCTCTTGTCTAAACCCAGCATCGGAGCTGTCCTCATTCAGCTCAATGAGCTCCAGAGGGCTGGGGCCAGGAGACAGGGCGAGGCAGCCCAGGGACACAGTCCTCTTCCAGTGCCGTCCACAGTGCAAGCTGGGCAGTACGTCAACTGGCTGGCCCCCATGGACCCTTCCTACCAAAGTCTGACGGCCAAGCTCCTTGGGAATGGGGAAGTCACCTGTTTTGCGGACTCCACAGACAGAAAGTCAAGTTCGGTGTAAGAGGAAGGTCTGACTACACTGGCATAGTGGTGTGTTTTGACCGCCTGCATAAAGCAAATTTAAACCCACTTTCACAACACAGACCTGGACAGATAAGCCATCTGCCCAGTAAGGAATCCAACACAACCACACACACCCTCCCCGCAAAAATCTCAGACCTCCCTGATATGGAATACAATAACAGCAGCTGGGTACTCAAGTCTCCGAAGACCATTCCTCGGCAGCCGGTAGGATTCCCGCCTCTAGCCTGCTTCCTATCAACCTTTGCTAACTGTGAACTTGATGCATGCAGATGGTGCAGTTGACTGCCTAGTCCTGTCTGAGCCAGGCTCCTGGTACCTGAGAAGACACAGCTTTTGCTGCCGAAAGAGGCAACAGCTACTGCACTAGGGTAATATTTGAGAGAAGGAAGTAACTCCCTGTTTAACTCACTCTTCCCAGTCAAGTAAAAATGGGGGCAAGGGAGAGGGAGAGAGAGAGAGAGACAGAGACAGAGAGACAGAGACAGAGAGACAGAATGAGAGAGAGGACAGAAAGAACAGGACAGACCCATGAAGTCACAGGAAAGACAGGCTAGGAACAGAGGTTTGGAACATGGTAGCTGGCCAGTGAGCATCAAAGAAACTCAGTGAGAACCCTCTAGAAGAAAACCAGAGCCAGAGTTTCCCATGGGTCCCATGAACCTGAGCCGAACTCACCTCTGATCTCTCCCGGTGTGTGCTCACTGATTCCACATTCAAGTAGATGGACTCCACACGGCACCCTGGAGGTGAAAGGCGGGAAAGATGGCTTCTGTTAGAGAGATCGTCCTCATCGGCAGCCCCACAGCCCCAAGGGGACCTCAGGGTCGAGGCCCAGCCGGGGCTGCTACTCACCATAGGCCACAGGTGTCAGTTTCAGGACGGTGTGAAGGGGACACTTCAGGTATGGCATCTCCTCTGAAATGAGACATATGTCATCGCAGTTAAATAAGAGCCTTGAAGCAAAAGGAGACACTCAGGGGGCATCCCTGGGCTCATTGTGAGAGCCTCACGCCTAACCCAAGGGCCCTTGGTCACATGGAGGCTTGAGGGTTCTCAGGCTGGTTTATGACATGACGACGCCCACTGAGCGCCACACAGTTCAGTAGGGAGCAGGTACAGACCCCTCAGCGGGCTGTGAGGCAGATCCATATTCAGATACAAAGTAAGAAAAAGATGGGTCCCCTCCCACTTGCACCCAAGGGCCCATTTCCTCCTCCATTCCCGGGCACGGCTTGCCCTCCATACCTGCACTCTTGTCGAGGAAGTAGGCTAGTAGGCAGCGTAGGACAGCCTGGTGACAGATGACCAACACATTCTCTTGGCGTTCTAGTTCCATGATCACAGGCTCCAGGCGCTGGACAAGGTCCTGGTAGGACTGAGGACAAAGGGGTGGGACAGCACGTTAGGAGAGGGTAGGCAGGGAAGAGTCCTGCATCCCTTGCGCCTTCCTCGTAGACCAGCTTACAGCCCACCCCACCCCACCCACATGCAGCCATCCACCCTTCCTAAGCGTTCAGCTCTGCCTTTAATGAAATACTCCTAGGAAACATGAGGGAAGCCTACAATCCTGTCTGTCTGAACTCCTTCCTCTTGAACGCGGGAGAAAGACTCTATCATGGACAATTACTCAGGCAGCCATTGAAAGAAATGAAGTCCCAGCACATGCCACAGCCTGAGAGAACCTCAAAAATCTGTTATGTCGGTCAAGTGGATGGAAGACATCAAGCATCACCATCTGCATACACCAAAGGATGCCTTCAGTGCACCGTCCAGAACAGGCAACTCTAGATACAAGGAGTTTGTGGTCACCAGAGCTAGGAGCTCGGGGATGTTAGACGGGCGGCTAACATGTCTGCCATTTCCTTTTGGAATACGGGTGGTGCGTGTCTGTAATCCTCAGCACTCAGAAGGCCGAAGCAAGAGGACAGCCATGAACCCAAGGCAGCCTGGACCACACATTGAAGATCCTGGTTCAAACCACAGACACGTAGCCAGGTATGGTGGCGCACATCTGTGCCGCCAGCACTGGGGAGGACCGTAAGCAAGGTACTTCTGAGCTACACAAGGAGCGCAAAGCTGCAACATTAAAAAAGCAGCCCAAGTCCTCCTCACGCTGCACTGTCCGTGCTTTTTCTCCTTCTAACCAGAGTTACGGTGAGTGGAGACCAGAGTGAAACCAGAAGGCAGCATGGTGGCCCACTAGGCGTGGGAACTTGACAAGGGCTCAGGACACCCACTAGGTGTCCACACAGCCACCTGGCTGAACTCCCAGAGTACCACATGGCTCAGCAGACTTCATTCCAACTCAAGAGCAGCTGCCAGCTCAGCCATTCTCTCTACCAACATCGGCCCAGACCCGGGACAAGCCATCTAACGTGACATCCGCACAGCCAGCCTATCTACCATGTCTCCTGGCACCCAGGAAAAAGCTTTGGTCTGGAGTGAATCACCAGCCATCCTCTTTGCTCTCTCCCACATCACACACATCATTAGACAGATACACAAGAGTTCTCGTTCCATGTGGAACATACATCGCACTTCCCTTGGGGCTTTTTACAGGGTTCTCTTCAGTGAGATTTAAGACCAAAGTAGTAGTCGAGATGAGCTTACAGAACTGGTGAGAGATGGGGTGGGTTGTAGAGGCCGTGTGGGGACTCACCTGATCCTGCTGAGGCCCCCAAAGCCTTCTCTCAGCCACCTCCATACACGACACATGTGGCAGCTCCTGACCATTATAAAGAAAAGCCAACAGACAAAAGAATGGACCTTCTCTTGCTCACCTCGCCCGTGGGATATCGGTAGTAGTATTTGTCCTGTTCACGCAGTGCATACTCCTCAGGGTAGGTGTCTCTGATCTCCTCATAGGTTAGCTCCTCACACACACCCTGTCAGGAAGACCAACATTCATGCCAAGGAACTCCCCCATAGCACTACCTCAAATAAAGGGGGGTCTCAGGAAGCCACCAGGAAGGATTCCAGAGGCCCCTCGAGAGAACTCTCCACCCCCTGCCAGGCCTCCCCACAGCCATGCGGGCCCGTGACTCACAGCATCGATTTCGTTGAGTGCTTTCCACTGCTCATAGGGGAGCCTCAGTGCCTCCGCGGTCTGGATCGTGCTTTTCAGCTGGCTTGTCCACACACGGAGGTCCTTCAGATTCTGTTCCTCCACAAACTTGCTCAGGGCATTGGCAAACTGAGGAGACAGAGGTCACCCCAACTCTAGCTCCTTCCATAGGTTATGGTATATTCCAAACTTCCAGGGCCACTCAAACCTTATCAGAGACCAAGAGGCCTGACTCTACTTCTCCGTTTCTAGTCCACACTCCCATGTACACATACAGACACATGCAAATACCCACAGTATAGCATGGCAAAAACAGCAAAAAAATACACAGCATCCTACCCTTCTAAGGACCCTTCTACTCTACCACATGGTGGGAGCCAACCACCCTCCGGCCTCCAGTCAGTCCCTAGCCCGTTTCTTGTTTTCTCTCCTCTACCTTCTTGCCTCTGCTGGACAGGCCCGAGTCGCCCCCAATCTTGCCCTGCAGGTTGTACTCATTCTCGCCGTGCCGACACAGATAGATGGTCCGTGGCTGCACGTGGATATTCATCAGGTAGTACACAATTCGGCTCTGGATGTGGTCCTGCACTCGGTTCACCAAAAACCTCCGGCCCACGTCAATCACTTTGATGAACGACAAGTCCCTGCAAAGAAACATCATTGAGGACCACCATCCAGGCCTCCCTAGCCCTGGAGGGCAGCACACCTCACCCTAGGCCTAGCCAGCTTCTAGAATATTTGCTCCTGGGGGCCTGTAACAGTGATCGTCGTGAGTCTTCCCTAGAGTCAGTGAGTAAATGAAAGCAACAATTCCCACAGCCAGGCTGTTCAAGCCAGGCATCAGAGCTGGAGAGATGGCTCCCTCAGTGATGGATAAGCACAAGATTTGTACGTCAAGTGCAGATGCACCTTCTTAAAAAGCAAGGCACAGCCTGGTCTGTAATCCCAGAGCTGGGGAGACAGAGACAGGCTGTCCCCTGGAACTCACTGGCCAGATGGCCTAGACAAATCAGTGAGCTCCAGATTCAGTGAAAACTGTTAAAAACTATATAACTAGTTCCAGGCCCGCCAGGGCTAGAGTGAGACCCAGTCAAAACAAACAAAATGAACAAGCAAAAACCTAGTAAGTATCTTTTCAAGGAAGAGAGTAATTGAAGAAGACATTTTCTTATATTTATACTTTTTGGGGGTGGGTGGGTTGAACAGACAGGGTTTCCTGTGTAGCCTTGGCTATCCTGGAACTCACTCTGTAGACCAGGCTGGCCTCGAACTCACAGAGATCCACCTGCCTCTGCCTCTCAAGTGCTGGGATGAAAGGGGTGTGTCACCACCACCTGGTCTAAATATTTATACGTTTTAAAGACTTCTTTATTATTTTTAATTTAATATATATATATATATGTATGTATGTATGTATGTATGTATATATGCATACATCTGTGTGGGTCTGTGCACATAAGTGCAGGAACTTGTGGAGGCCAGAGGCATCCGATTCCCCTGCAGCTGGAATTACAATTGGTAGTGAGCTGCCTGATGTGGCTGCTGGAAACCAAACTCCTGTCATGCAGAAAAGCAGTAAGTGCTCTTAACTGCTGAACCTCTCATTTTGAACCTCCCCATTCACGACTATCTTCCTCTAAATGCCCCCATCTCCTGTGTTTTACTGTTAGTGCAGCCCTTTACACACAGAGGTGAGGCCACCCACTGAGGCAGGGCAGCCTAGCAGCAGTCATGTCCTCAAAGGACAGGCAGTCGCCAACAACTGCCAATAGCTCCTCCGCCAAAGGACAGGGCCTCGGGGACCCTCCCAAAGCCATTTCTAGAGTTTGCAGACATATTTCCGAGCTGTTTACGGGACCATCAAGATGACATTTCAAGCCCTCGTGTGGATAACTGAGGGGGTGAGCTCTGGGAAGCACCTGTCACATTTATCAGGGTCAAGAGGCTGGTAGCTGGCTTCATAGCAACTGATTCTCTTCATGAAGTCGTCCATGGCTTCTGCCGAGTTGCAGTCTTTGTAATCCGGGCTGGAGATTTTAACTTCCTGTAACATCACAAAGAGCAGCTGATGAATCACACTGGAAGGCTTTCTGCTGAGATTAAGCAGGATTTGGGCTTTCAAATGGGGAAAGCCCAGAAATTCTCAGAATAAAGACTATCCTACCCAGCATCTAAGAGGAAGAAAAAGAACGGGACGGTGGGGAGGGGTCAGGAGGTTTGACTGATGGCCTTACGGTTACACAGGGAGGATGTCTAGGAAGGACAGACACAGGAAACCCACAAGGTCCCATAAGGAACACATCTGGACCATACACGGAGGCGGAGGCGGGTCAGTCCAATAACTGAGTCAGCCTGGCCCTCAACTCAGCAGAACCCCACAGGAGCACACCGAGAGCAAGCCGTTGGTCCCAAAAGGCACATTAAGTGTTGCTCTTGGGCAGAGTCTCTCCACCTGTTCCAACAGAGGCAGCAGCCACCTGTGCTGGTCGGTGTGATGCCATCTAACTAGACCTGGTGCCTAGACCTTCAGATCTGCCCTTCTCGCACAAAGAGTCTCCTATAATTGGACAATTATGCCGAGAAACCCAGGTAGATGTTAGGGAAACTCAGACTGATTTTGGTCTTTTGAGGCACCGTCTTACTGTCTAGCTGTGACTGGGCTAGAACTTGCTATGTAAAGCAGGATGACCTTAGACCTTCCTAAAACCTCCTACCGCTCTCTGCCCAGTAAGTGCTGAAATGATTAGGCAGGCACCATCATGCCTGCCCTCATAACTGTTTTAATCCATGCTTCCACAACTATAAGGCAGACAGGAAGATGGACAGGCCTGGAGATGGACATTAGGGGGTTCCCAACATTTTTGCTGTTGGCTTTCTTTTGTTTGCTTGCTTTGAGACAAGCTCCCATGTACCCCAGGTTTCCCTTAAACCCACTACATAGCCAAGGATGACCTTGAACTTCCGATCCTCCTACTGAGGATCGGAAATCCCAAATGCTGAGATTCCAAGTATTCACACCACACCCAATTTATGCAGTGCAGGGAACTGAACCCACAGCTTTGTAGGTGGCAGACAAGCACTCTACACCAATAGAGCCACATCACATACACAGTTGCCCAAGAATCTGAATGTACTTATTGCTGCTGAACTGCACACTAAAAATAGCTATACAGGCCAGTTGCATATTATGTGACTTGTACAATAAAAACATAAATATAGGCCACAAATCCCTGGACCTAATCTGCAAAACTGCTTTTAGGTTTAATCAGGGAAAGATTTCTGAACACAGAGGATCAGGGCCTATAGCTAACCATGTGAATGACTAGAAAGCTACTACGAAGAAGACTCCTACCTAAGCTCAGGAGTGACCACACAATGGGAAAAGGATTTCACAGCTACACCATGCTTCACTATTAAGTGGAACAGGGAAAATAAACCCAAAGTAAAACAGTGAAGTCCTCTGTGGGCACAGCACTCCTGTTCCTCAAACTCTGAGCCTCTTCCTCCAGACCCACTCTTCCTCAAGTATGAGCTTGTTTCTTAGAAATGTTTGCAGATACTCCCACTGTCTCGAAGAAAAAGACCAATGAACGAAAGCAAAAATGTTTAGTATCCCTTTAAAAGTAAGGTGTATATTGGGCAAGGTGTAGTGGTACACACTTGTAATTCCAGCACTCGGGGAATAGGGTGCAGGATGTCTTGAGTTCAAGGCCAGCCTGGGTTACACAGTGAGATCTTTGGCATAGTGAGCCTTGGAGGCTTTGGTTAGTGTGAAAGCATTATTCCCTACTAGGGACTGGAAAGCGAAAGTGAACATCTGGATGGCCTCCCTTGTATGATGGGATGAGCTGCCCTTCATCCCTGGCTACTCCATCACCACTCACCTTTGGCCACCAGGTGAAACTACTCCGTCTGCCCCCTTTATCTACCATGCCCAACCAAGACTGTATACCTGCTGCTTGTCCTCAAAGTCCTTGGAAATGGCCTGGATGTCATTTAAGAGCACGTCCAGGTCACAGCCTATGCTAAGTTAATATCCCCATGTACTTCTACCGTCCCAATATCCACCTAAAGACACTCAGCCACACATGGAGCAGGGTGTTTGCTTCTCAGGGTGTAGTTACTATCCAGTCCTGACCTGGGTTCCCACCAGGACTGCAAATAACCTCACAGTATTAAGCGGCCATAGACAAACAGGGCTTCGTACTTGTCTTACCATGATGTTGGAGGCCACAACAGTAGGGTCATCACATACGGACTCAATGAAGAATACCTGGAGGAAGGAAGCAAGATAGAAATGTGAAAACAACCCACAAAAGGCCAACTTTGATGTCGCTGTGATACAAGAAAGGAAACCAGCAGGGAAGGGATGGGGCTGGGGAGATGCAAAGTAAGCCAGACTCAGACACTGCGTGCTTCCACTTACATGCAAAATCTAGATTTAAGTGTGTGTGTGCGTGCGTGTCACGACAGAGGAGGAAGACTAAAGGGAGGGGTGGGGAATGGCAGGTGAATGGAATACATGTACCATGAAAGCAGAATCCAAGGGACTATTTGGGGAGCGGACAAGGGCCATTATGTCAGAGAAAGGAGGGGCCAAGAGAAGACGGGAAAGCAAATAGGAACAAAGTGTAATGATGCCCATGTATGAAAATGTCTCGGTCAAACCCATTTTTTTGTGCTTTAGTACCAGAAGCACTTGCCTTGGTTTGTTAACCAAAATATTAATAAGGGGGAGGATAAGCACTGGGAAAGCATTACTCCATAAAACATCAACTTTGCATGGCCATGGCCTTCACCTTGTGCCAGGGAGGGAGGGCTCCACTGTCCCCAGGCACCTTGCCACAAGGAAGACCTTGTTTCAAAGCAGCAAAACGTGGACAACTAGCCAAAGGGGGGGGGGGGGAGCACCTCACACCTGCAATCCCAACGCTTAGCAGACGGAGGCAGAGGGATTGCTGCGAGTTTGAAGCCAGCCTAGGCAACAGAGTGTGTTCCAATGAACCTGGGCTACAGAGTGAGACCTGCCCCAACTACTCAAGACAGGAAGAGGCTGAAGCCAGAGTCAGGCAATCAGCTGCTCCCAAGGTGTTTTCCACTCTGAACTTGCTAGAGGAGGCAGATTTGGCTCACCTTGAAGTCATTTTCTTTGGCAAAATGAAGGATCATGTGTCTCCTCTCTCTAGTAGTGTTGGTGGCATCAAAAACCTGATAGAGGAGGAGAAGGCGGCTCAGAAAAACTGGTAAGAATACTTACCCAAGCCACAAAGAATTCAGTCTGTTGTTTCCAGAAATAAGCCCCAGATTCCTCCTTCTAGACACAGTTGTGTCCTGTCCCCTAACCTCTCCACAGTGCCCCCAGACTCCCTCCTCATCCTCGGCCCACAGCTCTCTCTGGCACAGCAGGGAAGCAGGGGTGGGGGTGGGGGTGCACCCAGGGACCTAGCAAGCAGTAACATACAAGGAGGGGCCAAAGAAGGACGCCTGGTTGCTGCTGTGGCTGGCAGCAACACAGTAGAGGCGGTGCCCAGATGCCCACTACACACGTGAGTGGCAGAGCTCTGTGCCAACATCCATCCCCGGATATGTTCCTGAGCCATGAGCTGCTCTGGGCCCTTGCTCCCTCCACCCTCAAGAACAGCCATTTGTCCCTGTTCTTACTGCACAGGGGGTCTCCACACTGCTCCCCCAGACTTACTGCAATCTGTCCTCCTTCCTTCGTCAGGTAACTCTTGACGTCTCTCAGGGCAGCCAAGGCACACTGTCTGCAAACGCACAGGAGGAAAAGCACGGGTCAGAACAGGCCCAGCCAAGCAGCCGCATCCCTAGGACACACACTGGAGCGCTAGTCCCAAGCTGCTCAGGGTATTCAGGTCTCTTTAGGTCCAGAGGCCTCCGACCTGAGCACCAGCACAGACACCCACCTCCACACAGCTGAGGGAGGCAGCCATCATGCCCGGCAACACGATGGGGTCAATGTGACCGAGAAACATTTGTATTTGGTTTTGTGGATTGTTTCGTTTTGCTTTGTTTTTCAGGCAGGGTCTAGCTGGGCTGCCCAGGCTGGCATTCAACTCTGTAGGCCCAAGCTGGCCGTAAACTCCCTGGACTCCTCTTACCTTAGCCTCTCCAATGTGGAGATTGCAGGCACCAGTTACCATGCATGCATGGCCTTCTTTTTTAATTTTTTAATCCTTTGTTCTTTGTCTTTCTTTCGTGGTACTGCTGAACTGAACTCGAGGCCTTGACAAGAGCTCTGGAGACAACAGCTCCAGACCTTTTTTCATTTTAGTTTGAGACAGGGTCTCACTAAGTTATTTAGTCTGGCTTTGAACCTACTCTGTAGCTTAGGCTGGCCTAGAATTTGCAGTCTTTCTGCCTTAATCTCCCGAATGCTGAGATTATAGAAGCAGCGCACCATGCTCAGCTTAAAAATAAAACCTGGGAGCGTTTTAAGAACTGGTGCCAAGGGCCAGGGACATAGCTCACTTGACAGAGTGCTTGCCTAACATGCATAAAGCCATGGGTTCAATCCTCGGCACTGTCTAAAACCAGGTTTGGTGGCACAGTCTATAATTTTCATACCGGAGCGTGGAAGCCGGAGGATCAGAGGTTCGACTTCAGCTACTTAGAGAGCTCAAGACCAGCCTCAGTGTCTGATCTGAGCTATATACATTAGTGCCAAGCCAGCCAGGGCTATATAACAAGACCCTAACTTAAAACAAAACAAAACAAAACAGTACTAATAAAATAAAAACGGATGCCAGAGCACACAGAGGGCCTCACTGGGCATGCCTGGGGCTGTTCCTGGCATCAGTGATTGGGACTTCTTCCCACGCCCAGCTGATGCCAGCACCATGCGGACCTGAAGAGCACCACCCCGTCCATCACCTGTAGCTTAAGAACTCTTCTGCAAATGGAAACTGATGGTTTCCAATGAAAGGGACTTTGTTCACTCCTGGCATGTGGCTGCTGCTCAACTGTCTCAGGGTGGCTCAGTTCATACTTCTGGGAGCAGATCAAAGCAGCCAGTCACAGAGAGGCCGAGAGACTTGTCCTACTGCTAGCTAGGTCTGATGGCCATCAACAAAGGACCAGCGTGCAGACTGACCTTTTCTTCCTCTTATAGAACCTGGCTTCAAAACAAAGGAAGCCACAGTAAAGCTCATAGTAAAGTGCTGGCCTTGCGAGCACAACGACCTGAGTTGGGTTTTCAGAACCTACAATGAAGGAAGAGGAAGAAGAGGAGGAGGAGAAAGAAGCAGCAGCTGCTGGATCTGGTGGTGTGCACTTGTAATCCCAGGGCCAGGGAGGTGGAGAGCCCTGGGGTTCACTGGCAGCCAGCCAGTCTTGTTAAGCTCTACAGTGACAGGCCTGGCCTCTAAAAAGAGGCCTCAGAACTGGTTCAGTGCTGCTAAGGCACTGCCAGCCTGTACACATGCATGAGGGCTTGAGTTTGCATCTCCAGCACTCACCTAAATGCCAGGCACGGTGCCACTTTCTGTAACCCTAGCACTGGGGATGAAGAGACAGGCAGAGCTCACTGGCCAGCCAAGCTAGTTCCGGATTCATCAGCAGACCCTGTTTAAGGGCTGGAGGGATGACTGAGCAGTGAAGAGCATGTGCTGCTGCTCTTCCAGGACCCAGGTCTGATTCCCAGCACCCACCTGGAAGACCACCACCTCCTCTAACTCCAGTACCAGGGGATCCAATGCCCTCTTCTGGCCTCCCCAGGCACCAGGCACTAACATACATGTAGGCAAAAGCCCATGCACATAAAAATAATTTTGTAAAGAGACCCTGTCTCAAAAGATAGAGAAGCAATACAGGAATATAGCTGATGTCCTCGGGCTTCCACACACATGGACACATACCACTTCACACTCACCTGTATCTATATATACATTGTATTGTAAAGTAGACAATGTCCAAGGAACATGCAAAGTCCTCCTCAGGCCTCCACACAATGTACACACACACACACACACACACACACACACAGGAAACACGGCAACTCAGGCTTACTTCCGGACTCTCATGGCTTCCTCATTGTCAGGGCGGAAGAAGTTGTAAGAGCTGTACTGCTTCACGGCTTCACGGCGATACTCTCCCACATTGAACACTAGAGGAAAGACAAGGACAGTCCTGGATGAGCCATCACGAACCAAAGAGAAAGCCAACCAATCCCTAGCTGAATAAGGAATCTCATATGCAAACAGTGTGGACTTCCCGCTTGTTATCCCCAGGTAACAGGGTCCAGATCAAAGGACAGCACCCATCACGCTTGCTGTACCTGAAGTTGTCTCCTAGGGACCAGACCCCAATCCCAGCCTCCCAGTGTGACCAACCAGAAACAGACTCTGAGAGCAGCCAAAATCCAGGAAAAAGCAGTTAAACTGTAGGAATAAGGATGTCACTCAGTTGTTAGAGTGCCTGTCTAGTATAGATGAAACTCTGGGCTGGATCCCAGCACCAACCAAAAACACTGGGCATGATGGTACATGCCTGTAATCCCAAAAACACTGGGCATGATGGTACATGCCTGTAATCCCAGCACAGAGATGTAGACAGGGGGGGTAAGAAGCTCAGTAGCTGTGTTGGAGACCACTGAGCTATGAAACATTGTCTCAAAATCATAGATAGACAGACAGACAGATAAAGACAAGACAGGCTGGTGAGTTAGCTCAGCAGTTAAGAGCACATGCTGCTCTTACAAAGGACCAGGGTTCAATTCCCAGCACCCACATGGAGGTTCACAGCCATCTGTAACTCAAATTTCAAGGGATCTGACTCCCTCTTCTGGCTGTCTCTTATGTCTGAGCATAAGGCATACCTATAGTACACATACATATATGTGGGCAAAACACCCATACATATAAAATACGGCGCATGCCTTTAATCCCAGTACTCGGGAGGCAGAGACAGGTGGATCTTTGTGAGTTTGAGGCCAGCCTGGTCTACAGAGCGAGATCCAGGAAAAGTACAAAGCTACACAAAGAAACCCTGTCTCGAAAAACCAATAAATAAATAAATAAATAAATATTTTTTACCTATGGTATCCCAACATAAGTCGGTCTCACTGGCCAGCCAACCTAGCCTACTTATTGAGCTATTAATTCTAAATTACCCCTGCCATGTCTAAATTAACCATGTTCCTGTTGGCACACCTATGGTGATGAGATCACATTTAATAGTTACTGCTTAGCATATGCAGACCTAGAGGCAAGCACTAGTATTAAAAAAAAAAAAATTCTTAGCACAGTGAGGGATACTAATCTTTATCCTCAAGATAATTCCCATTTAGTTGGGAAGACAGGGCAGAGGTGTATTAAAATGTCACCAATAGTACGCAGCATGAAGCTGCAGAGGACAGTCACTGAAGGAAGGCTACATGTGATGGGACTTTCAAAGAAAAAAGAACAAAGTCACCACAGGGAGCTTGATGAAGGTGAGGGTAAGTTGAGATAACCCAACTGGGAAACATGATCAGACTCCATAACTCAGGACAGTTTTATGCCTGTGAGCCACCACCGTGAGGGTACCAGCCATTAGCCTTGAGTCCTGGCTTACCTTTCGTTGGAACGCCTATCCAGTTGAGGTAGCGAGTCAGCTTCTTGGAGATGTAGGTCTTACCCCGGGCCGGGAGACCCACCATTACAATCACCGTTGGGGAGTTGGTCAGCTTCGGCCCACAGGCTGCAAAGACCAAGCCACAAGTCATCAATTAAAGAGCACAAGTTAATGGCCAGAGTCCCATGCCCAAAGACAGATTGTGAAGAATGGGACCAAAGTTGGGTATGGTAGTCCCAGTCCTTGGGAGACAGAGGCAGGAAGAAATGAGTGTTCTAGGGGATCCCAAACAGCTGAATTCCAAGCCAGCTTGGGTTACACAGAGAGTTAGTTCCAGGCCAGCCTGGGCAAAAATGTGAGCTATCTCAAAGCCAGCTTGGGTTACACAGAGAGTTAGTTCCAGGCCAGCCTGGGCAAAAATGTGAGCTATCTCAAAGCAACAAAAAAGAATAGCATTAAAGTTATGATGTCATTCCTGCCATCTGATGACCCAATGGGACTACACACTTCACCCCATCCCCACCTAGTGACCACACCCCTTGACCTTGTAGTTCAGTCTCACTTTTCAGGCAATATTTGGCAATGGCAGTTCCAAACATAAATGTACAATCAGACATGGAGGAACTGAGCCCCAGACGGTGATTCCAGTTCCTAGCAAAATAGTGTAATAACATTTCTTGGGGGTACAAGGATGGAACCCTAATGCCAGGGAGGGTAAAAATTTTTGTTTTGTTTTGTTTTGTTTTGTTTTTTGTTTTTCAAGACAGGGTTTCTCTGTGTAACAGCTTTGGCTGTCCTGGAACCGATTTTGTAGACCAGGCTGGCCTCAAATTCACAGATATACACCTGCCTCTGCCCTCCCAAATGCTGGGATTAAAGGCGTGTGCCACCACGCCCTGCCAGGGAAGGTAAAATTAGCAGTAGGGAGTAATGATTTCCTAAATCAGTATGTAAATTGAGCAAACAGGTGGGAAACAGACAGAAGTGAGCCCCAGAAACCGAGAGAAGACAACCCATTTACTAAACTCCAAAGACTTGAAAAAAAAAAAACAAAAATTAAACGGTAAGAGTTTATCAAGGGAAAGTAGGTCAGGGACCCAAAATGCTGGGCCCCCTGGCTGGGCACCATGCCTGTGCCTCTCACATCCTCCCTGACCACCCTCCTCCATCCCTCCATTCTGCTGCCAGGATCTGATGGATGCCAGGTTCAGAGGAACGCCTGAGTCTGCCAAGGTAATGGCCAGTCAGAGGAGCCTAAGTAAGCTGGTTACTAAGTCCTGGGCAGGCTCCCCAGAGACACTCTTGCTTGTGATGAATGAGTGCCCTGTCTGTCTTTAGAATCTCAATAAGATGGAACACCAGGGACAGAAGTTTCCAGAAAGGAGCCAAAAGAATCCTGCTAGACAAACTAAAGTTCCAGTATTTCCTTGGCTGTCTCTTCATCACTGAGTCTCTTGGGCGACTCCTGCATCCTGGCGACAAGTGAGCTTACAAGCCCAAGAGGCTGCCTGCCAACTCCAGCCCAGCTGGCCTTCTCCCATCCCAGACACAGGCTGCACAGCCTGCAGGAAGAGATGAGAGTCATGCCACCACCCTAGACAGATGTCAGATCTAGATAGAGGCTCATGGGAAGTCTAAGCATTAAGGGGGACGCCAATGTGGATCTTTTGCTTCAGACTAAGGTCTGATTAGAAGAAAGCATTCATGGCAAGGGGTGAGTGATCTCTTTGATAACAGGGACCTGGGTGAGGGGTGTGAGGCTATCTAGACAAGAGAATTCAGAAGCCAAAGACAGCCCTTAGGAACATTCCCCAGGAATGCATTCCAGAGGCCCTGGAAAGAACAGATACCTAGAAGACAGAAGCTCTTTCCCTCCAGCTAATGGTGGCTTCTCCTGCCCTTATGACGACACTGAGCCATTACAACTGAAAGCATCCAGAGATGCCTGGAGACAGGCAGCCCTACATGCATGTGTCCATGGGCAGTGTCTGCTGAAACTGTGTCAAGGATGCAGAGGCAGAAGCAGGCTGAGTTATCAGATCAGGGATTAAGTCTATCTACTAATCACAGGAACAAATCTCCTCTGGCAGTAGACACTCTGGAAAAGAAAAAACCATACCGTAGACTCAGGAGAGTGCTGTTGGATTTCAAGTGCAAATAAACCTAGATCACTCTCTTAGTTGACAAAGCACAAGTCACTCTTCCCATCTGCTCAAAGCTGAGGAGCTCAAAGGAACTGCCAAAGCAAGTGTAGCTTTGTCACCCAGACATCTGAGCAAGGGTCTCACTGAACAAATAATGTCCTGCCCCTGGCCACAGGTTCTTTTCTTCATAGACATTTTTACCTTTGAAGAAGAGACACCAACCATGACCCCTCACCCTCCATTTCACAACATCCCCTGGATCCAATCCTTAACTTGGATGCTTCTTCCCACAATCAACTCAATATATTGACTTCAACATAGGATTTCCTAAGACAAACATAATGCCTCCTTTCCTTTTATCTAAATGTTCAATGTTTTGTACCAGGGTTTTTAGCAATAAATCTCAGTATTAACTTAAATAAGGGTAAAGAATACACAGATGTTCCGTTAAAGTATGATGGCTGATCTCCATTTGTCAACTTGACTAGATTTAGAGTCACCATGGAAACACACCCCTGGGCTATCTATGAGAATGTCTCCCACTGGGTTACCTGATATGGGAAGACCCACTCTAACTGGGTGGCACCATTCCATGAGTGTGGGCAGGCCTGAAGAAAGGAAGAGAGCTGAACACCAACATTCAAATCCCTCTGCTTCTGGACAGAGATGCAGAGACCTGACTGCCTCACGGTCCTATTTCCACAACTTTCCAGCCACAGTGGACTGAACCCTCAAACGAGTCAAAATAAACACTTCCTTCCAGAAGTTGCTTTTGTCATGGCAATTAGAAAAATAACCAATATGTGGGGAGAGAAGCCATTGTCTAAAGAGAGCTAGGCCCCGGTGGGCCTAGATTCATACTAAAAGTATTGCCCATGGTTAAGGCCATGGTTCCTTAAGATTCACAGGAAGCCACCACATCCCAAGAGCGGAGCCAGCACTCTACAATGTCATTAGGCTTATTTGCTTATATACTCATGAGACCAGTGATCTGGATGCTTGGGGGAGGGAGGGGGAGATGACATGTGGACAAACTGAGGCCAGCATTCCTGAGGAGTCCCTTTGAGCTCAGACCTGCCTACCCACAGACTAGGTCCATCATTGTTAGTTCTTAACACAGCCTTGTAATTTATGCCAGCTTCCTGCAGGTAAATGCACACAAAGGAAAACCAGAAGACCAGCTGGGGAGCTACAGGATAGGGTGGCTGAGGGATAAATTATGGGAAGAAAAAACCTGACAGGTAGTTAAACCCCCAACTTGAACAGTGCTTGTCTAGCTCAATTGAGAGGCAGATGCACACCTGAGTCCTAACCTCAACACTTCTTCCTAAGTGATTAATATCTTCGATAACATGTGACCAAGTGGATCATTGAGACAGCCGACTTCAACCATCCCACCATCTGATGCCCACAACTTATTTTCCAAATATATACCTGGGAAGATCCTTAGCTGTGGCCCCCATACCTCATCCATGCTTGGTTCTACCCAGACAGTTTGCAAAATGTTATCATTAGAAAAGGATGATACGCCAGGTGGTGGTGGCCCACGCCTTCAATCCCAGCACTCGGGAGGCAGAGACAGGCGGATCTTTGTGAGTTCAAGGCCAGCCTGGTCTACAGAGCGAGATCCAGGACAGGTACCAAAACTACACAGAGAAATCCTGTCTCAAAAAACAAAAATAAATAAATAAATAAATAAATAAATAAATAAATAAATAAATAAATAAATAAATAAAGGATGATACATCCTCTCTATCCTCTTGTGTAAGCATGTGCATTATGCTTCACTACAAGCTCAAAGGAAAAACACAGAAGGATCTGTTTAGGACAGACAGACAGCTGTGAACTCCGAAGGGACCATCTCCCCAGCTGCTAAGAGAACTGAAGCCTTTCCACAGGAACCACCTCAGTCTACTTCCATCAAGCGAGGGGAAAACTGAGCTGTACAGAAGACTTGGATTGTATAGGTATACTACCACACTAAGACCTCTCGGAAAACGGGCTTAACCTGCCTGGCCCTCAGAACATAATAAATACCAGCAACAGGAGGAAGGCAATGCATGCCACATGGTTGTTCACTAGACGAAAGCATCTCTCCTGGCATCATCAGATCGGCCTGTAGCACCCTCCAAGTCTGATGGGGTAATATGAAGAGAGCGTGCCTCAGCAGAGCGTACTTGGCAATGTGGGAGCAAGGAAAATACAGTTAATAGATGTCTCTCTCTCTCTCTTTTTTTTTTTAAAGCTGTGATACATGGAAATAAATTGATGTTTTAAATTAAGATATTTTCTATTCATTTTACATACCAACCACAGATTCCCCTGTCCTCCCTTCTCCCGCCCCCAGCCTTCCCCGACCAACCCACCCCCCATTCCCACCTCCTCCAAGGCAAGGTCTCCCATGAGGAGTCAGCAGAGCCTGGTACATTCAGTTGAGGCAGGTCCAAGCCCCTCCTCCCTGCACTAAGGCTGCGCAAAGTGTCCCAGCATAGGCACTAGGTTCCAAAAAGCCAGCTCACACACTAGGGACAGGTCCAGATCCCACTGCCTGGGGGCCCCCTAAACAGTTCAAGCTAAACAACTGCCTCACTTATCCAGTGAGTCTAGTCCAGTACCATGGGAGTTCCTAAGCTATTGGTCCACTAGTTTGGCTAGTTGTCTCTGTACTTTTTCCAATCATAGTCTTGATATCTCTTTCTCATAGAATCCCTCCTCTCTCTCATCGACTGGACTCCTGGAGCTCTGCCTAGGACCTGGCCGTGGATCTCTGCATCTGCTTCCTTCAGTCACTGGATGAGGGTTCTATGATGACAGTTAGGGTATTCAGCCATTCGATCACCAGAGTAGGCCAGCTCAGGCACCCTCTCAACTATTGCCAATAGTCTATGGTGGATTCATCCTTGTGGATTCCTGAGAACTTCCCTAACACTCTGCCTCTCCCTATTCCCATGATGTCTTCATTTATCATGGTATCTCTTTCCTTGCTCTCCCACCCACAAGGGACAAGCTGGAATACCTTCGCTGGGCAGTTGTGGCACACGCCTTTAATCCTAGCACTCGGGAGGCAGAGCCAGGCGGATCTCTGTAAGTTCGAGGCTAGCCTGGTCTACAGAGTGAGATCCAGGGCAGGCACCAAAACTACACAGAGAAACCCTGTCTCAAAAAACCAAAAAAAAAAACCCACAAACAGCTCTCCTTCATGGTTACAGTGTACATGCTTACCATGGATCCCTTGTCCCCTAATATCTAAATAATCTGATGCCCACTGAATGGCCTTGAATTCACAACCCCATATCTCTGCCACACACTGCAATGGGGTGTCTTAGTGACTCAGTGAAAACTTTGGGAGGTAATACAATGTAAAATAGCAGTGCTAATAAGCATGCAGTGCCAAAAGTCCAGAACCCTGAGTTAAAAGCCAAGCCTCATCACCACCTTGGATCTTAGACACATTCATCTCTTGGTGTCTTCCTTTCCTTTTCTATACAATAGTGGGATGCTTCAGAAGCTGATCGTGACAATGAGCTGCCACATAACTCACCTGAAATGACTGCTATAAATATGCCTGGCTGGGCACCAACAAGATAGAATTTGGTGTATTACTCCCATGTACTTAGGAAAAATAAAACATTGAGGATGGGCAAGATGGCTTTGTGGGTAAAGGCGCTTGCCTCTCAAGTCTGAGGACTTAAATTCAATCTCTAGAACCCACTTAGGACAAAAGAACCAAGTCCACAGAGCTGTCCTCTGACCTCCACATACTCTCCATGGCATGCGTCACCCTCTTCCTCATAGTAAGTAAATAAACTCTTTTAAAGAAGACCTTTTTGTAGCTGCTGTTCCAGGCAACTCTGTGCAGTCAATTTTAATAATGTCCCTTTGCTCCTTTGTACCTACATCTACTATATCCCAAGCCACCCATCATACTGCCTGAGGCTGGGATAGCTCACGGCCCAGATGCATTGAATATACAAAAACATCATCTTCTTGAAAATGGGGAACTGGAGTTCAAAGCAGGTAACAGCACCCAACTATGTAGCAGGCTGCAAATTTTCAGTGCAGGTAACAAAAAAGGCAACTCTTTTTTTGGTTTTTCGAGACAGGATTTCTCTGTGTAGCTTTGCGCCTTTCCTGGAACTCAATTGGTAGCCCAGCCTGGCCTCGAACTCACAAAGATCCGCCTGGCTCTGCCTCCCAAGTGCTGGGATTAAAGGCGTGTGCCACCACCGCCAGGCCTTTTTTTTTTTTTTTTTTTTTAAATTTCAAAACCAGGCTAACCTTGAACTCAGAGATCTATTTGCCTGACCCTCCCTCTTGACTGCTAGGTTTAAAAGTATGCACCACTATGCCAGGCCTTTCAGATTTGTCTGTTCTTTATGACTATTCTTTTAGTTTTATCTGGACAATTTTCTTAATGCCCTCCAGCAATAAGCCTCAGGAGTTGGCTGCCAACCTCTGACATGGATGCAGACCGAATGGAAAGATGGTAAAAGGGCTGGAGCTGGAGCAGTTAGAAGGGTTCTTGCCCAACATTCACAAAGCCCTGGGTTCAATCCCTAGCACCAAGGAACTCCGGCATGGTGGTGCACATTTATAATCCCAGCATCTGGGAAGAGAAGGCAGGAGGATCAGAGGCTCAAGGTCATCTCCACACCATTGTGAGTTCAGTCAGATCATGTATGAAAAATAAGAAAAGTTTTAGGTGAATGAAAATTCACAAAATAGGCTGGGTGTGGCAGCACATACCTTTATTCCATCTAAGTGGAGGCCAGCCCAGTCTACATAGTTTCAGGCCAGCTAGGGCACAAAGAAATCTTGTCTCCAAAAAAAAAAAGTCCACAAGATTCTCAATGTCAACACAAAAGAAATAATTTCTCTATTGCAGTCAATTGAGTATAGGAAACATAGCACTTAAAATATGGATATGCACTAAATATCCTAGCTGTAGATATTTGTATGTGAAAGCTACACCCTAGTATCACACGCAAGAATTCCAGAAGCAGGTGAGCTGGTCACCTTAATCCGTCAGCTTTAGATACACACCTCAAGCTCTGAATAATTCTGACAGCAATTCTTTGCAAATCTCTCAACTCCGTGACAGACGTGCTAGCTCATGGAGGCTAATGATCAGGTTCTGATGCCAGGAGGAGGGACACTCAGATGCACCGTGATGTCCCTCAATATTACTACTGAGCCAGCCCCACTGAACTTAGGGTCCTTGCAAAAGTTGTCATGGTTCCTGAAGACCCCAAACAAGGGAAGATCACACACATGAAACCACCCAGCTTTACACATACATATAAAACCAGCCCTTATTTTGTGTGGCCAATTTCAGTCTGAAAAATATGCTATAATTTTAAAGGTCCAGAAGGGACAGGGGTCTAAATTTGGTCTTGGCCAACTTTCCCTGTTTTGGTTGTTGTTATTATTTATTTGTTGGGCAAAGTCTCACTCTGTAGTCCAGGTTTATGATTCTCTTAACCTCAGCCTTCTCGGTTACCCGGTTACAGCACAATGAGATTATAGGTGTGTCACCAGGTTTGACTCCTCCCTGGAGCATTTTTATCAAGGCAGTCCCAGCGCGCGCGCGCGCGCGCGCGCGTGTGTGTGTGTGTGTGTGTGTGTGTGTGTGTGTGTGTGTGTGTGTGTGTGACAGGGCTTGGAGAAAGAAGACCTGCCAAGCCCTTGCCCCTGACTTCTTTGTCCAAAAAAAGAAAAGGAGACGTGTCTTGGGGACCGGTCCCACCAACGTCCTCAGGTCCAGCAGAGAAGACCTCCTGGAGGTGTCTTATACTGCACCACAGGGAAGCTAGGGTCAGGTCAGCAGGGAAGCCAGTGACTCGCAAAAGAGCTGTCATGTCCTGTGATGGCCATCCTGTGAAACGTGGCAGTGGAGAAACCTACCCTGCAGCCTGGTGCTCAAGTGTCCCCAAGGCGACAGGAAAACACCTCCCGGCTTTGCCAGTGGATTCCATGGTTACATCTTAAGCTACAAACGTGGCCTGAGCAACACGCCCACTAGGAAGCTCATTTCTGTCTACCCCCATGCGCTCCTGGGCGCGCCGCCTAGAAGGGAGACATCGCCTTAGAGCAATTCCACCCGCCCTTTCCAGATGCACCTTTCCCCAGCTAGGGGTGGAATTGAACGAAACCTTCCCAAATCGTTTACCGACCGCAACAGGTGGGGCACGAAGGCAAACTGCCAGCAAATTCCGTGCTCGGGGTAAATGAGTGCGCCTGTGAACCACCACCAGTGTGCAGTCACCAAACCCAAAGACCATCCCTAACACCAAGAGCCTGCAATCGCAGGAGTGAGGGTGAACATGGAAAGAGACAGAGGTGCAGAGAGAGATACGAAGGAGGGAGAGAGGGAGAGAGTGAACCTGAAAAGACCCAAAGAAAAGGGGCGGGCGGTGGCGACGGCGGCCGCGCCCCAGTTGCAGTCGGTCTCCGGGTCTCTTCGGCCTCTGGGAGGCGCTGGCTCCGTGATCTCTGGCCAGGCCGGGCACACAGAGAGGTTTCCGGAGCCACAGCGCCCCTGCAGCCCAGTCCGAGAGACGCAGCCCGCCGCCACCCCCGCCTCGCCCCGCCGGCCGGCACGAGTGCGCTTCCCGCAGAGGGGAACCGGCACAAAGCCGCTGCACACACAATGGCCGGGCTCTGCACGCGGCGCGGTCTGCAGCCTAGCCCCCCGCGCAGCTGCACTCACTTCTGGGCAACGAGGGTCGATGATCGACAGGCACCCAGATCTTCTGCACCCGGCTCTGAGTCAGTTCCAAAGGCATTTTCGTAGCTGCACTCGGCGACCCGCCACCCCAGGAGGCTCCGACTTGGGGAGAAGAGCAGTTGCAGATCCCCCCCGGAACAAAGGACAGGAAGGGTGCGTCCGCCTGCACGCGGCTGGGCGCTCCCTTGCGCTGCTTTGGAAAATGTGCTTTGTGCGAAGTCTTGGAGGATCGCCTGAGCGGAGACACGAGACGGATGAGATCGGCGCGGGCTTGCGGCTGCGCGCACTGCTGGCTGGCTGGCTGATCGGCTCTGTTCAGAAGCTCAGGGATGCTCCAGCGCAGTGACAGCCGAGCTCCCGCTACCCAGCACTGCCACTTGCTCCTCTCCTGCTCTATCGGGATGCCACACGCACTGCCCGGCCTTTTAAGATCTGACCGGTAACGCGGCGCGTCAGCCTCGGGGCGGGCCGCATTCTTTGCGTCCCAGCCCCCTTTCACGTGGAGAGAAGGGTGGGCAAGGCCAAGAAACAGCCTGCTGCCGCCCCCTGCGGGCCGGCGAGGGCAGCACGCTCTGCTCCTGCAACCCAGTCGGGCTCTTTCGTCCTCTTTTACTTTCCCAAGCCGATCTATCCCCCAAGGGCACCAGGCACCGAGTCCCCAAATAATTTGAGCCACTTTCTTAAGCTGTGCTTAGAAGGGACCAGGGACCTGGTAATGTCCGATGTAGTTCGTCGACAGCCCCACCCCCATCCCCTCACACACGCAGCCAGTGCGAGGTAAAAGCATCTCCAGACGCTATGTTTAAAACAGTATCTTCCCCATTTAGCCTTGCAAGCAGTGGGGCCCCAACACCGAACATCACAGTTACAAGCTTTGGGGGGCCGACACAGTCCAAGAGAAGACCCAGGTCAGAACTGCCTCCTGTTAACACTTGTGTGTCTTCAGCCACTGCTGTCACTGCCACCTCCGGGCACGGGCACGTATTTTTTTCCTGAAATATTTGTCCCGTAGAAACCTATGCTTGGGCAGTGTTGCCACCCCCTCATCCAGTCCCCTGTTGCTAGGCGCTTGGAGGGGACAAAAATTTAAAGAAAATAAACTTTGGGATAGAGGGGAGTAATTGGTATCTTTATTTTCCCTTTCAACGTGGGCCGTATTCCATAGACCTTTCTCTCTGTGAATAGTGAATAAAAAGTAGATCCCGTTCCTATCTTCATTACTGGACCATAAGCCCCGAAGCTTATAGTCCAGGGGTAGCCAGATCCTAAATTCATGTCATTTCCTCCCGCACACCCTGCCACTTTTAGTTTGATGTGAACATGCCCTGGCTTCCTTTCCCGATATTCGCACTTTGCATAGGCTGGAGATACAAGTCAGGCATGCAGTGAACTGCCACACGCCATTCATTCAGCGACAATGTGGGGGTCTTTGGGCGAGGAGGCATGACACTTTAAATGTGCCTTTAGCGAGTGAAGCCTCTGCACAGAAGCTTTGCCCTGCCCTGCCTAGCGGCGAGCTGCACACGTCGCGATGAAGCTGGGCTGTGATTGGAGGCGCTCGCGGAACCCCACACTGCAGTGGAAAAGTCTGCGCAGAGGCTGCCACACGTCGCGCACGTCCTGCATGCTTTGCTGGGAGGGCGCCGGCTCCCAGGCGGCGGGCGCAGCTGCTCTGCTCCCAACCCAGCCTGCCCCGCCCGGGACCTCCGCCTTCTCCAGCAGCCTGGAGAGCCCAGGAGACCTGGAGCGCCCAGAGGACCTGGAGCGCCCAGGAGACCTGAAGCACAGAGAGTCGCCCACCTGGCTAGTAGATCCCGGAGACCTCCGGACTCTGACCCCCATTCCCGCACCGCATCCTCCCCCGCCACCCTCCTCAGAGCCTGCCCCCACCCCCAAGCCAGCTTTGCTGACCATCTGGTATCTGTGCTCAGGCTTCAGAAACCCGGTGCATTGCACTTGAACTTGTTTTTCTGCAGTGAGAGCAAATGCCAGAGGTGACACCCTAGAATGCCCAAGGGAGAGTCTCCACTCCTGAAATAAGAGTGGACTGACTCGACAAGGAAAATATCAAGTGTACGTGTCTCCAGGAAGTGTCCCCCTCACTGGGTTTGCAGGGTGCAGAGCAGGAAGCTGGGGGTGGGTAAAGGTGCATCCCTGCCGAGAGACACCCACTTTCCTGCTCCCCAGCACCCATAGTGCACCTGGACACATGGTAAAGTTTCCACTGGTTTTGTTTGTTTTCTTTGTTTGAGGGAGTTTTCCTATGTAGTCCAGACCGGCCTAGAGCCTAGAGCTTGCTCCTTCTCAGCCTGGTATTACAGACCTGTGCTATGCCCTTGGCTGCCCACGTGAGGTTTTGCAGACACCTACAAGCCTGTCCAGTGGCCAGGCGGCATCCCTTCACCTCAAAGCTTAGAAACAAATTGCTGGGAGTTCATGGAGAACAGGGTGGGAATGGCACCAGTAGAGACCAATCTTTATTTATAGCTTGCATCATATGTTTAAATCTGCTTTTCATTATTTTTATTAATTAATTTATTTATTTTACATCCCAACCGAAGCCTCCCCTCCCTCCTCTCTTCCCACTCCCTCCTCCTCCTCTCCTTCACCCGTCCATTCACCCCTCCTCCATAATCACTCAGAAAGCATCATGCCTCCCATGTTTTACTATGCAAAACACTGCATAGCAAGCTGCCATAAGACCAAACACCTCTCCCTGTATTCAGGCTGGGCAAGGCAATCCAGCATGCGGAATGGGTTCCCAAGAGCCAGTCAAAGCACCTGGGACAGCCCCTGCTCCCACACATAGACCCAGCTACACAACTGATCATTTTATATATATATATATAAATATATATATATATATATATATAGAGAGAGAGAGAGAGAGAGAGAGCCTAGGTCAGTCCCATGCAGGCTCCCTGATTGTTGGTTCAGACTCTGAGTTCCCATGAGGCAGGCTATTAGTTTCTGTAGGTCTTCCTGAGATGTCCCTGACCCCACTGTTTCCTACAATCCTTTCCCTGTATGCTCAGCAGGACTCCCTGAGCACAGCCCAAAGTTTGGCCATGGGTCTCTGAATCTGCCTCCATCAGTCACTGGATGAAGGATCTCCAATGACAACCAAAATCTTCACCAACTCCACATCCGACAGAAGGCTGGTCTCTAAAATATATAAAGAAATCAAGACACTAGACATCAAAAAGGCAAGTAATCCAACTAAAAAATGAGGGTACTAACCTAAACAGAGAATTCTCATCAGAAGAATCTCAAATGGCAGAGAAACACTTAAAGAATGTTCATCATCCTTAACCATCAGGGAAATGCAAATCAAAACGACTGAGATTCCATCTTATACCTGCCAGAATGGCTAGATCAAAAAAAAAATTGGGAATCAATCTACCTCAAGACCCAGTGATACTCTTGGGCATACACCCAAAGGATGCTCAATCATACTACAAGGACACTTGCTCAACTATGTTCATAGCAGCTTTATTCTTAATAGCCAGAACCTGGAAACAACCTAGATGCCCCTCAGCCAATAGTACATTTATGCAATGGAGTACTACTCAGCTATTAAAAACAATGACATCATGAAATTTGCTGGCAAATGGAAGGGACTAGAAAATATCATCCTGAGTGAGGTAACCCAGACCCCAGAAAGACAAGCATGGTATGTACTCACTTATAAGTGGATTGTAACTGTAAAGTAAAGGATAACCACACTACAAACCACAGACCCAGAGAGGCTGGGTCACAAGGAGGGCCCAAGGGAGACACTCAGATCTCCCTGGGAAGAGGAAATAGAGATCTCCAGGTTGGACTGGGAGTCAGTGGGAATGGGAACTTGTGGGATGGGGTTGGGGAGTGGGCGGAGGGGGACAGTGCTGAGAGAGATGACTAGAAAGGGGGGGCTTTACAGAGTCAGGTAGAAGCCTGATGCATGGGAAGCTTCCATGAGTCTGCAAGGATGGCCCAGGCTAAGACTCTTGGCAGCAGTGGAAGCGCGTAGCCTGAACTGGCCATCCCCTCAGATCGGACTGGCGACTGAGGAGATGTTTAAATCTCTTCCTTTAAGGTCAGCCCTCGAGGCAGGAGGTAGGCAAGCATTCTCAGCTGGGGCACTTTCCCTGCCCAGGTGCCAACAAGGTAGTGGGTGTCCAAAACAAAGACTGTTCTCCAGTCACCTCTGCTACCAGATAGGCAAGAGGAAGTTGACTTAACCCCTGTAGGGTTCCAGATAGCTAGATCTAGATGAGATGTGAAGGACACAGCTGAACTCACACTTGTTGGTTGGGTCTTTTGAAGTGGTCAGCTTGTAACCCTAGGTAAACGAGCGGGCTCAGGGAAGGTAAAATTGCTTCAATATGATACCCCGCAGGAACAACTTGGCTGCAACTACATCCCAAATTCACCTCCTTAGGTTGTTGTTTAGCCATCTTCCTGACTCCTTCCTTCCATTCTGTTAATACACCCTTATCTTTACCTCCAATGTGGCCCCCTAGGGCTTCACTAACTCCCAGGTCTCCGCGGTGGATATTATGAACTCAGCCCTTTTAGAAGAGGCTGCCAGGAATTAGAACATTCTTTAAGATGGATTTCTTATAGCCAGGCGACTCCAATTGGTAGGGCTGATTGACAATTTCCCTTAGACTCGAGTTACAATCTAGACCCCAGGAAAGCCAAAAGAAACTACTGAACAATCTAGTCCACATTCCACAGCCCCCCACCTCTTGTTTATGGGAAGGAGTAAAGGAAAGATTGAAGATTAGAAAGGTCAAGGAATTGAGCCAAAGACCAAGGAAGGAAGCAGTTAGCAAGATGGTTGGTTTGTGGCCAGTTTGTTCTGTTTTAGAAACAGAATCTCATGTAACCTGGGCTGGCCTTGAACTCCACATTTAGCCAAGAAATTACAAGCATGAGCCATCATGCTTGGTTTATTTGGTGCTGAGGACCGAACCCAGGGTTTCAGGAATACTAGGCAAGCACTCTAACAACTGAGCTATATCCCCAGCCCTGTGTGAGTGCATGTGTGCACACACGAGTGTGTGTGTGTGTGTGTGTGTGTGTGTGTGTGTGTGTGTGTGTGTGTGTGTGTGTGTAGGGTGATCAAATACTTGGCACAGCAGCAGATAGCTGTCCCCTCCCAAGTGGTCACATAATAGACCTACCCCAACCCAAGGTGCTGAGTACGACCCTAAGCAAGGGAAGACTTTCACCTGGGCCAGTTAAGTTGTTTGGTAGGAAAGAACAGAGAAAGGCCTCATCCTGTACATGAGATATTAGCATGGCAATTACCTAAAATGATACCCTCATACTCACACCCCACCAAACACTTGCTGGATGGAGTACTCTCTGTGCGAAGTCAGTGAGCAGGGTCTAGCCTTAGCAAAAAGGACAAGGAAGCACTTTTCCTCCGTAACTTTTGTTCCCATCCTCTGGCCAGGGTC